TCTTTAACCTATGATTTTTCCATCATGAATCTCTATACAATATTATGTACATTAAAAGCTAAATATTTAAAAACATACAGTACATTTCCATATCGAGAAAAGATAACGAAATTGAATTGCGCATGTAGCAAGCGATTATTCATTACATAGTAGATATCACACACATCTTTTATTCTACATTTTTTATTCCAATCAAAGACCATAACACACCCAAGAAAAAGACTCTATGACAGCATCGGATCTATGCACGTAAATTTCATTTTTCTATAGTTAACGATATAAAGATTTCTTTTAACTAATGTCTCCTTCGTAGAAATTCCATGTGAATTATTATGCGAATAGAATGCAGCTGTAGTTACAAGGAATAAGCATGACATGAATCTGTTAAAAAGTATAAATGATAATCTTGCTTCTAAAAAAACAAATAATATAGTTCTTTTAAAATATATTTATTCAAAGCATTAAAAAACTTATTCTCTCCGCATAGGTGATCAATCATTTTACTGGAAGGGAGAGTGCATTATTTTTACCAACGATAAGAAGAAGCCAACGGCACTGACATCATAAATGATTTTGGAAGACATCGTCTTCTTTTTATTCACACTGGGAAAAAATCGTGTGCATTAATATTCTATCAAAAGAATTGAAAAATGAATGCATCTCAGTTACTTATTTATTATTTTCTTCAATAATTCTTATTAAACTATAATCTCTTGCAGCTTTTTGACCAGTATCAGTATACATTTAAGTTTCTGTTTCAGTTTTTGAGATTCCTAAAACGAATGCAGAGAAATATAACGCCTATTGTTATCGTTACAAAAATGTATCTGTACGATCCAAAAAGATCGCAGATTCTTGCCTATGTTCAAAATACGCACTTTAATCAGTTAGAGTGTATTAAAATGTTGTTATTCGCGACCTCGCACTCTGTAAACCGTTGCTAAGCACGCCTTACTGGGCCATTACCAAAGATTCTCGTACTATTCTTTCACTGGACGCTTGCGATTAAATGTGTTAAAAAATAAAATGTTCACAGTTAATCCAAGTAATAAATTTTCCTTTATAATTACCGCAAAACGGTAAAAAATTTATTATTTTTAATTTTTTTGTAATAAATAATTTTTTCTTTCCAGTATATATTTACAAATTAAGAAACATGAACAAAACAATTTAAAAACGGATAGAAAAAATTTATTAAAAACAAAAATTTTCCCATGAATGATCGAACACTAACTAGCAGCACGAGAAGCGACAACACTACTACATACATTAACGCGCTACATGATAAATGTTCGCATTTAAGATAATATAAACATGTATACAACCAGAATCAAACCTATAAAAGCATTTTTCTCAAAATTGACTTCGCATTAGAATGAAACACTATACCACGAAAACACCTTATATATACTACTAATATACCAAAGCTTATTAAAATCCGTGAGGACACAACAGGAAGGTCTCCTTGTAGGTTATATTGCATTTGATCTTGACGATTATTTGAGGGTTTAATAGTAGAAACAGATGAAAAGTCAACAAGCTCACAGTGATCCAAAGCGGACACCTATCCAAGTAGTAACCGCGTCCAGCGCTGTTTGACTTGGGTGTGAAACGATGACTAGTACTCTCAGAGCGATGCTGCCATTCACAATATTGAAACATATACTGAATGCACTTGTCGAGAAATTCAAAGCATCAGTATGAAATGAAACAGAAAACAGAAGAAAACGTCTAATACGTACGAGTCTTGAAGAACATTAAAATGATCAGACGAAACGTCTACAAAGTTCTGCCACAATTATTAGAGTAAGCGAGTTTGAATAGAAACGTAAAAAACGCAGTATCGTATGAAAACAACAATTTTATTACGATAGTGAGTAACATTGACTTTTTTTTTACGAATATTTGTAAGTAAGATAGAAAAAACGTATATAAGACGTCACATGCACACGGTGATGCCAAGCGGTCACCTATCCAAGTAGAAACCGCTTCCATCGCTGCTTTACTTTAGTTATCGATCGGTAAGTAGTTCTCTCAGCGCGGTGTGATGAGACAATATTGTTACGTATTCTAAATGCACATGTAATGCAACCCGAGCATCAGTATGAAACGAAACGGACAGCAGAAGAACACGTATAATGCGTACGATTCTCGGAGGACACGAGTTCATGATAGTTTTCAGTCGAAACGTTTAAAAGTTCTGCTACAATAATTATAGTAAGCGAGTTTGAAGAGAATCGTAAGGTAGGCAGTATCGTATATAAACAACAATTTTACTATGATAGTGAGTTATACTGACTTTGATCTTGATGATTATTTGAGAGTAAAATGGTAGAAACAGATATAGAGTCAACAAGCTCACGGTGATCAAAAGCGGTCACCCACCTAATACAACCGGATGGTTGGTCCTATATAAGAACACACCAGAATTAACTAATTGTCAGTTTATAGAAGAACGCACTGCGGCACACTCAGTTTCAAATACTCGCATAGCAGTTAAAGCAATTCATTTGTTGTAAAAAGCAATTAGTTTCTTACTTTGTGCTCTATGAAAATGGAGAAGCAAGCTGTAGTGTTGGAGAAGAAGTCATGTTTGACAGGCATGAAACAACGATTTAACGAAGAACTGTCCAAAACTCGAGTTATTACTGGCAGAAACAGTTTTTTCTTAACTGACACTGATAACCAGAAGTTAATAAATGATGTACAAAAAGCCAAAGTGATTATTAAGAAGGAACCAGAGGACTTTGAGTTGCTGAAACGCTATTATGTGGTATTCGTTAACGAGAAAATTAAACTCATTTATCCTAGTAAAGAAGATTCCCATGTTCTACAGTATTACATTGCAGACTCAGAGTTATTTAACGTACTTCATGAAACTCATATCAATATTGGACACGAAGGAAGTGATAGAATGATGAAAGAACTTTCATCCAAATACAAAAACGTTACACGTAAAGATATTGAACTGTACATCAACCTTTGTGAATGTATCCAGAAAAAACGGAAATCTATTAAAAAAGGCATTGTTGTGAATCCTCTGATTAGTTCCGAGTATAATTCTCGTTGTCAGGTAGATCTTATTGATTTTCAATCTCAACCAGATAGAGAATACAAATTTATTATGGTGTACCAAGATCATCTCACAAAATTTATGATTTTTGGGTCTCTTATGTCAAAAAAAGCTGAAGAAGTAGCCAAGAACCTACTCGACATATTCGTTATGTTTGGAGCGCCATCAATATTACAGTCTGGCAATGGTAGAGAATTTGCCAATAATATAGCGTCTAGTTTGAAGGAGTTGTGGCCAGCATTGAAGATCGTCCATGGGAAGCCTCGGCATTCACAAAACCAGGGTAGTGTCGAAAGAGCTAATCAAGATTTCGAAGATATGCTCTGTACTTGGATGCAGGACAACCTTAGTGCTTTTTGGCACTAAACCTAAAATTGGACTTACGACATCATCACTACCGAAAGATACTTTACAAGACATAAAAACAGAGGAGGATCTAGAAAGAATAATTAAAAGCGTCCAAACAATAGAAGTAGGTGAAACTAATCAGATTACGGAAGAGATAAAGCCTGTTTTAGAAAATATGGATGAGATTATAGTCGATCGTAAATTAAACTAATATGTTGAAGTCATGCTTACCAAAGAGATTTTCGTGTCTGATACCTCTCGTGTGTGTATGAAACAAACAAGTGATGTATTTGCATGCAAAATGTGTTGTAAAAAAATTCATGCCTTCTGTGGCTATGCTAGTAAATATAATTAAAAGAATATTTTATGCTTCCTTTGTTTCAAAATAGAAAATGCTATTGAAGCGAAAATAGATTCTAAAATCCAACTGGAAAACAAGCAAAAAAAATGAAAATGAATTCAGATAAAAAGCTTCCCACTGTTCCTTTTGGAACTACTGTGAGTGTTCCTATTTCTACCGTCGTTAAGGGGCGGGGTGATTCGCGCAATATATTGGCAGTTGTAATAAGTGCGACAGAGGATGGTTTCTATCGACTTGGAACTTCTGAAGGAATTTTGAAATAATTATATGCGAGATCACAATTCACTTTATGTCCAATTAACTTGCATAAAATTGAAAATATTCAATTGCAATTGCACAATCCAATGGAAGCGGCCAAGAATTTATCAAATGTACGTGTAAAACAAAGTGCCAAACTCTGAAATGTCTTTCCGTGAAAAATGTGGTAAAATGTAATTCAAAATGTCATTCAAACCTACCATGTTGCAATAAGTAGGCTAATTAAAATTTCTTATTTGTATTATGAAAAGTTTATTACCCTTTCTTCGAAGAGGAAGAAGAAGAAGAAGATGAAGAAAAAAAAAAATCATAAATTTTGTTTTGTACAAAATTCTTCTTTCTTTACGTATTTTGAATAAATATTTTTAATGGCACTCTCAATCTCTCTCTCTCTCTCTCTCTCTCTCTCCTTATTCCTATAATAACATTTGTATTTTGGAAGAATGCACTTGTAGAAATGTAGTCATATGTAGTTTCCGCTCGCTTCATTAGCTGACCGCAGGTGTAGTG